GTTTCCCATTAGCTGATTACATTGATTTATTAGCGTCTTCTGAAGTGGATCTCCAGCATTGAAAACGTACATAGTCGAGTGCAACGTAATGGGAATGCGCACGAAAGTGTGCGTACGTATGAAACCCTAGTGATGTCTCGATATCCCATTCATTGCGTTCTGCAGGCAAATGCAGAAGTACTTTAATAGTTGGAGAAGTTCTGGTGCCTCGATGTCAAGTTTGTTAATGATGGGAAATTGAAGTATGAGATTGAAGTATGATCCACTGATGAAATTTAATTGCAAGGGGCGTCCTGCGTGAATTGGCCCAAACTTTTTGTGACCGATTGAAAACTGACACTGAAGACTAATATATTTGTTTACATTGATTTTCATCGTGATGCCAGTTTATAATCATTAGTCGTAATTGTAAATGGTGAATGAAAAACTTAGATCATGGGTGCAAATGTCTGAAACGAGAGATCTGAAAGCGAATGATTTTACTCATCCGCCTCGCGGTGATACGACATTGAAATATTCGGGAAAACCCCTGTATGCAACCGCTACTTCGTCAGATTGATTTGCAACAGTTGCGATTATTTTCGGAATTTCTGTAAATAATTTCAGAAATTAAGGCGAAACGTCTACGCACGGCCAGCAGACCGTCCTGGTATATTTTTGATCACATATATCGAAGGGCCCATCTCTGTAGTCGGATTATCATTTATCGCAGCTCAAGTACTTTGCAGGATTTTTAATACTGGAAACTATTTTCGTTTCTGCTTTTGCGATTACACTGTATAAGTAGTCATTCCTATTTTAAAAATATCACTTCAGTCGCTATTTGATTGCTTCATAGCCCGTTTTTAAGGTGTTTTCCATTAATTAAAGATATTTGTGACTTTAACACTGTAGATGCTTTTGTAGATTTAGAGTAACAAGTTATATTATGACTTAACTTGCTTACAGCAACTTCGTCTTGGTGTCGTTCTCAATTGGGAATTCTGTGTTGGTGTTGGAATCGTAGAATTTTGCCGAATATTGTTCGACGCGGTATGTTTTACAAGTCGATATATGCTAGAGATTAGCGGCTGTGTACTAGTTCCTGTAATCATGTAGTAATGGATGAAAGTACTTGCATACCGTTTGTATGTGAATTCTATTTTGCATAAGATCGCTAGGTAATTTGTTTATTACTTTTGATACTAGACTTCCATTATATGGCTAAAGTATTGAAGTCGATGACTGATTCGAGCATTAAACTTATCGTATGTATTGTGCTTAAAATTATTTTACTCGCCTACATAATGTTTAAATGTGCGTAGACTGCGAAAATTCATTTTCGACTCTGTTCCATTTTCATGTTAAGTGTTAGATATTCGAGGGCTAGAGAGATAGCAGCTCAATGTCAAGGTACTCTTTTCTGCCATTTTTCTGTCCTCAGAGAAACCAATGCACAGCATGCATGCTGTTTGTCGATTTATGACCGATTGGTTTCTGCCGCAGCTTTGACCGTGTAATAGAGACCTTCACATTTTTATCCTTTTGTCTTCAATAATCGAATCGATACCGGTTATCTTGTGTGTTGCGTTCATTGGTTCTCTGTGTATTACGAAAATTTTGTGATTGTTCTAACTGTTCGTTTCTAGATTACAATGGTCAAGATATTTGTTGGAAATTGTGGCAGCGAAACTTCAGGAGATGAACTGCGTTCACTTTTCGGACGTTATGGGCGCGTGACTGAGGCTGATATCATTGGCCAAAAAGGTTTCGGTTTCATCGTAAGTTGATTTACGTTCTTTTACTACCATTAAAGATAACGTTGTATGCGTTCAAAATTTAACAGTTCTATTTGTAGTTAACAGTCTTTAACAGTGGGTGCAATTTTTATCTTCGAGTGAAATATTTGTAGTTATGAATGCAGCTTCTTTTATGTTTCAATGCATGAAAGCTAGTTAGAATAATCAAGTTGTAAGATGCTCATTTTTTGTGTGGAGTATTGCTGTCAGGAGGCGTATGTTAAAGGCTGATTTTCTTCCTTGCCGAAGGCGTTATATTAATGCTGTTGCTTTCTCCGTTGTTAACTTTGCAGGTGTATTCTGGCATTTGTTCATGAAAGCTGTGACCTTAAAGTACGATGTAGCGCAAACAAAACTGTTTTGTAACCATTTATAGCTGATTTCCTTAACCACAGATTGATTGAGATTTGTGATCTCTGTTCATCGCATCATCTCTTTTGACATTTGAAGCTTTTTTTTGTGTCGTCCAAAAAAAGATTTCACGTCAACCGATCGTATAATTTCTTATGCCACGCGATGTGCTAGGAACCGATCGCTTTGGCTCCAATTCAACAGCCGACTAGTTTATGGGTTCTAGCCGCTTCCGAATGTTCTGACCCTGAGATGCCTGAGGTCAGCTACCACCAGAATGTCGTTCTTGATGCTCTAGTACCACTTGATCTTCAACATGTATCGTAACCAGCTTTATTGGACGCTGTTCAGATTACGGCAGAGTATTCTCAAAAGTAGCCGCAGTTCATAAAACAAGGTATCAGTTTAGTATCATGTCATGTGCATTACGTACATTATGATGTTCAGTCGCAGACAAGCGCTTATTGTTTCTAAATGATGACTGGAATTGGATATATGTGATTGAAATATTGTTTATTTGAACTAAAATACGGAACCCTTGTTTTGTAGGCTAACAAAAAATCGTAATAGACTTCAGGTTGAGTGTCACCGAAAATATAACTGTTTAACACTCCATAAGGAGTCTTCTTTTTTGGTCTTCGGTAAGGAGCGAAATCCAATTGAAGACAAATTTTCATGCTTTACGGACGGTCATGTACGTATGCTACCTGTTGCGTACATGATTGCTGCTAGACATACGACGGATGGTCTTTGTTGAATATGCCTCACTCATTGTAAACCGTCTGTTACTTAATGTGTGAAAGTGTTTTAGTATGGCATATCAGCTACCGCCGGCCTCAGCCATCGTTTTTCTTCCACTGTTAAAAGGTCTTTTACGTCTAAAAAATGAGCCCGTTTGAAATGGAAGAGCTGTATTTTTTTTTCCAAAGTTACATTTCTGTTCTGGGTATCATATTACTGCCGGAAACGAAACATCAGTCATCAAGTTTAGAACACGACATTGCAGCATTGTCATAAACTGCTTGCTAGTTTGTGTTGTTGACCTTGTTTTCGTCACACAATCGAGTATTCAGGATCCTCTAACTTTTGCGTATAACTCACAAAGCGTTTTGCCTCCTACTTTATTTACGTAATCTAACTGAGTATGCTATTGTTTGTACAAATGTGATGTTAGGTTGAAATACTCTGTAGATTAAATGTATTTCCTTTTGTCAGTTTCTTGCTTTGTTGCTAGTGGCAGTTTTCCAGTGCATTCTACTAAAGTGAAAGTGTTTGTATAGTTGTACATTGATGTGAGGTATGAGATATACAGTAATAGGATATCTCTGCTTAAGATTAGTGTCACGTCTGCACGTTTAATGATCATTTTTGTCATTTAGACTGATCTTTAAAGTAATAACAAGTTTGTTACGTTTCTTAAAGCTCACTTATAGAAAGTTTTTCTAATTTAGACATTCGAAATGTCAGTTTATGATTATGCATTAATGATATTCGCTACATTCATGGACGGTTAGTTTCGACTACAAAATTTTGCATAAAATTTTCACGTTAAGAAT